TTCTCCACCAACTACAGGAAACGTCTCACCTCTGTGCTCACCAACAAGGGTTCCTCCACCAACTACAGGAAACGTCTCACCTCTGTGCTCACCAACAAGGGTTCCTCCACCAACTACAAGAGACATCTCACCTCTGTGCTCACCAACAAGGGTTCCTCCACCAACTACAAGAGACGTCTTACCTCTGTGCTCACCAACAAGGGTTCCTCCACCAACTACAAGAGACGTCTCACCTCTGTGCTCACCAACAAGGGTTCCTCCACCAACTACAAGAGACGTCTCACCTCCGTGCTCGCCAACAAGGGTTTTCTCCACCAACTACAAGGAACATCTCACCTCTGTGCTCACCAACAAGGGTTCCTCCACCAACTACAAAGGAACATCTCACCTCTGTGCTCACCAACAAGGGTTCCTCCACCAACTACAAGAGATGTCTCACCTCTGTGCTCACCAACAAGGGTTCCTCCACCAACTACAAGAGACGTCTCACCTCTGTGCTCACCAACAAGGGTTCCTCCACCAACTACAAGAGACGTCTCACCTCTGTGCTCACCAACAAGGGTTCCTCCACCAACTACAAGGAACATCTCACCTCTGTGCTCACCAACAAGGGTTCCTCCACCAACTACAAGAGATGTCTCACCTCTGTGCTCGCCTCATCTCAGGGGAACCTGTAACCACACAGACACTGCATGGTGCCCTTTAATAATGAAAGGCCACTCCCCTCCCCCCCAAACTGCAGTTTGCATTTTTCTTACATACCGAATGATGCCGGGTGAGATTGGAATCTCTGGGTCCCCTTCCCTGATGCTCTGATCAGCCAGCAGATGGCAGCACCATTGTGTAGTCTGCACACTTCCAGCTTCAGCCAGCAGATGGCGGCACCATTGTGTAGTCTGCACACTTCCAGCTCAGCCAGCAGATGGCGGCACCTTGGTGTAGTCTGCACACTTCCAGCAGAAGGCGGCACCATTGTGTAGTCTGCACACTTCCAGCTTCAGCCAGCAGATGGCGGCGGCACATTTCCATTGTGTAGTCTGCACACTTCCAGCTTCAGCCAGCAGATGGCGGCACCATTATGTAGTTGTCCAGCAGTAGTCTGCACACTTCCAGCAGAGATGGCGGCAGTCTGCACATTTGTGTGTAGTCTGCACACTTCCAGCTTCAGCCAGCATGGCGGCACCATGGTGTAGTTGCACATTTCCAGCAGCACCATTATGTAGTCTGCACATTTCCAGCAGATGGAAGCACTATTATGTAGTCTGCACACTTCCAGCTTCAGCCAGCAGATGGCATGGTGTAGGCACCATGGCGGCACCATGGTGTAGTCTGCACATTTGTGTAGTTGCACATTTCCAGCAGATGGCGCCAGCCAGCATTATGTAGTCTGCACATTTCCAGCAGATGGCAGCAGAGGGATGTGAAGTATGGCCAATCTGCTGGAACTAGACACACTTTGATTTGAATGGAGGAGAATACCCCCTGGCAGTGTCCTCATTGGGGGAATCTCCCATCACTTCCTGTCCCAAAGCCAAAACAGGAAGTGAGGGGAAATCCCTCCAAAGTAAGGAAATCTCACCCCCCCTCTCCCCAACATTGACAGGGGGTCTCACCCCCCTCCCCCCCAACACTGACTGGGGGTCCCCCCAACACAAGCTTTGTGGCATGTTGTTCAGCTTGTGAAGTCTTGAACCCGTGCAGTGAGCTGGACACAGGAGCTCTGATCCTGACGTAGGAGAGTCCAGCGCCAGCTGTACTGGCTGTGTTTTCAGTTCACCAGTCTGGTGGAGTGGTACGCCGTGCTGGTCACATGACTCCATCCCGAGTTGGTGGGGAGGACCGCCCTCTACTGGTGGTGGAGGATATAGAATGAGACTTTCCCAACAATTTATTCATACATTTATTTCAGCAAAATTGTGAACATCGAGACGATTCCAACATCCAGAACAACGCATCGTCCGCCGCCCGATCTACCACCTCCGACCCGGGGGGGGAGGGGGCCACCCCTTCCACCTCCGACCTGGGGGGAGGGCCACCCCTTCCACCTCCGACCCGGGGGGGAGGGGGCCCACCCCTTCCACCTCCGACCCGGGGGGAGGGCCACCCCTTCCACCTCCGACCCGGGGGAGGGGGCCACCCCTTCCACCTCCGACCTGGGGGGAGGGCCACCCCTTCCACCTCCGACCCGGGGGGGAGGGGGCCACCCCTTCCACCTCCGACCCGGGGGGGAGGGGGCCACCCCTTCCACCTCCGACCCGGGGGGAGGGCCACCCCCTTCCACCTCCGACCCGGGGGGGAGGGGGCCACCCCTTCCACCTCTGACCTGGGGGGAGGGCCACCCCTTCCACCTCCGACCCGGGGGGAGGGCCACCCCTTCCACCTCCGACCCTGGGGGGAGGGCCACCCCTTCCACCTCCGACCTGGGGGGAGGGCCACCCCTTCCACCTCCGACCCGGGGGGGAGGGGGCCACCCCTTCCACCTCTGACCTGGGGGGAGGGCCACCCCTTCCACCTCCGACCCGGGGGGAGGGCCACCCCTTCCACCTCCGACCCAGGGGGACCAATCCACCAATGGGATCTTCTATAAACCTTAGCACAGGGATGGTGGGAACCCCTCATAATGGACACAGGGATGATGGGAACCCCTCATAATGGGCACAGAGATGGTGGGAAACCCCTCAATGGGCACAGGGATTGCAGGAACCCCTCATAATGGACACAGGGATGATGGGAACCCCTCATAATGGGCACAGGGATGGTGGGAACCCCTCATAATGGGCACAGGGATGGTGGGAACCCCTCATAATGGGCACAGGGATGGTGGGAACCCCTCATAATGGACACAGGGATGGTGGGAACCCCTCATAATGGACACAGGGATGATGGGAACCCCTCATAATGGGCACAGGGATGGTGGGAACTCTCATAATGGGCACAGGGATGGTGGGAACCCCTCATAATGGGCACAGGGACGGTGGGAACCCCTCATAATGGGCACCGGGATGGTGGGAACTCTCATAATGGGCACAGGGACGGTGGGAACTCTCATAATGGGCACAGGGATGGTGGGAACTCTCATAATGGGCACAGGGACGGTGGGAACCCCTCATAATGGGCACAGGGACGGTGGGAACCCCTCATAATGGGCACGGGGATGGTGGGAACCCCTCATAATGGGCACGGGGGATGGTGGGAACCCTTCATAATGGGCACAGGGATTGCGGGAACCCCTCATAATGGACACAGGGATGATGGGAACCCCTCATAATGGGCACAGGGATGGTGGGAACCCTTTATAATGAGCACAGGTATGGTGGGAACCCCTCATAATGGGCACAGGGATGGTGGGAACCCCTCATAATGGGCACAGGGATGGTGGGAACTCGCATAATGGGCACAGGGATGGTGGGAACCCCTCATAATGGGCACAGAGATGGTGGGAACCCCTCATAATGAGCACAGGGATTGCAGGAACCCCTCATAATGGACACAGGGATGATGGGAACCCCTCATAATGGGCACAGGGATGGTGGGAACCCTTTATAATGGGCACAGGGATGGTGGGAACCCCTCATAATGGGCACAGGGATGGTGGGACCCCCCTCATAATGGGCACAGAGATGGTGGGAACCCCTCATAATGGGCATAGGGATGGTGGGAACCCTTCATAATGGGCACAGGGACGGTGGGAACCCTTCATAATGGGCACAGGGACGGTGGGAACCCCTCATAATGGGCACAGGGACGGTGGGAACCCCTCATAATGGGCACAGGGATGGTGGGAGCCCCTCATAATGGGCACGGGGATGGTGGGGAACCCCTCATAATGGGCACAGGGATGGGGGGAACCCTTCATAATGGGCACAGGGATTGCGGGAACCCCTTATAATGGACACAGGGATGATGGGAACCCCTCATAATGGGCACAGGGATGGTGGGAACCCTTTATAATGAGCACAGGGATGGTGGGAACCCCTCATAATGGGCACAGGGATGGTGGGAACCCCTCATAATGGGCACAGGGATTGCGGGAACCCCTCATAATGGGCACTGGGATGGTGGGAACCCCTCATAATGGGCACAGGGATGGTGGGAACCCTTCATAATGGGCACAGGGATGGTGGGAACTCTCATAATGGGCACAGGGATGGTGGGAACTCTCATAATGGACACGGATGATGGGAACCCCTCATAATGGGCACAGGGATGGTGGGAACCCTTTATAATGGGCACAGAGATGGTGGGAACCCCTCATAATGAGCACAGGGATTGCAGGAACCCCTCATAATGGACACAGGGATGATGGGAACCCCTCATAATGGGCACAGGGATGGTGGGAAACCCCTCATAATGGGCACAGGGATGGTGGGAACCCTTTATAATGGGCACAGGGATGGTGGGAACCCCTCATAATGGGCACAGGGATGGTGGGAACCCCTCATAATGGGCACAGAGATGGTGGGAACCCCTCATAATGGGCATAGGGATGGTGGGAACCCTTGATAATGGGCACAGGGATGGTGGGAACCCTTCATAATGGGCACAGGGATGGTGGGAACCCTTCATAATGGGCACAGGGATGGTGGGAACTCTCATAATGGGGCACTGGGATGGTGGGGGAACCCCCTCATAATGGGCACAGCACATGGTGGTGGGAACCCTTCATAATGGGCACAGGGATGGTGGGAACCCCTCATAATGGGCCCAGCGGGTGGGATCTGGTTTAACCCTCCAGCATCCAGCAAACACTGAGATACCAGGTGTGGGGGAAGGGTCCTGTGTTCTGGCCCCTCAGTCAGTCGCATATTTCAGCCAATATTTCTTGTCGCCTTCTTGGACACGCCCCCATGGTCGCGCCTGTCATGCCCTCCACTTTCTGCTGCAGTCAGCCCGTTTTTGCAGAAGTTCCACGTTGGACATTTTTGGGGTTTTGCAGTGGGCGGAGTCTGTGAGATGCAGGAATTTGCAGTAGAAATGTCAGTTCAGTGGCTCCGCCTTGATTAATTATAGAAGGCGGGTTTGTGGTCTAAGCGCTGGACGTTGTAGGTGTTGAGGCCCGGAGCGTCGAAGGCGGGGGAGAGGCCCTGGGCGGTGTAGGGGTAGAAGTTGAAGAGTTGGCGGTCCTGCGTTTCCAAGGAGACGGAGGCGGATCCCAGCCGCAGGATGCACGGGAATTCCCTATCGAATACGACCTGCAGGATGCGCTCCTCCAGGAAATGAAGGCGGATTGTGCGGTAAATCTCCGGGATCAGGTCCTGAATGTGAGGACCGAACTGCTGCATCTCCAGCACGCCGTTACGCCCCACCTTAATCTCGTAGAACGTCAGGTTGGCGTAGGTGTAAAAGCCTACGTAAGGGGTGGGGTTGGGGGTGGGGTTCAGCCTCTTCTCCGCCTCTCTGAAGGCCTTTTCCATGGCAGGAATCAGGAAGTGATATGTCTGGGACACAATGTCCTCCTCCTGTGGTCGCGTCCCCGCCATCAGTACGATGAAGCTCAGCCGCAGTCTGGGAACGATGGAGAAGGTGGCAGAATATCCGTCAAGGTCGCCATCTTTGCGGACAACGTCGTAGCCGAGCTGCTCGTTCACCTCCCAGGGGGTTCCCGTCTTGTTGGCGAAATATTCTGAAGAACATTTGAAGAGCGGCGTCAGCATGGTCTTCAGGGTGTCCGCCTCCAGGATACGGCGGTGGAATGTCCCCAAGAGCCCCATTGCCAGCTTAGCCATGTCTGCCGCCGTGGAGTACATCTGACCCGATGGGCGATACCAGCCCAGATCGTAGAGCGGGGCCACTTGTCCGCTGCTGTAGAAGCCCACCGCCATCTGGGACACAATTGGAGGCGTTAGGTCGAAGCCCGTGTCCTCCATGCCGATCCGGTCCAGGATGTTGTCCGACACCCAGCGCTGGTAATCCCCCTCCGAGGTCTGCTCAGCCAGGACGTGCGCCAACAAGGAGAACGCCAGATTACTGTAGTGGCACCTGAAAGGCAGAGAACGAGAACACGATGAATGGGCCCCGGCCAACGTTGGAGCCTTCTCAACCCACTTATCACATGGTGTGCTACTGGCCACCCCCGAGAAGCCCTTCTGTTGGCTGGTTCCTGGACCTCACTGTGTACCCCGGAACTAGCACTGCCTCTGGACCAGGCCTTGGACAGATACCGGCCCAGCTGACATGTTCTCCGGTGAGGATGGTAAACATGGGTGCCGGTTGTTATGAGGTGGACCATTCCAGTGGCTGCTGGTTGTATGACCCCCAATAATCCATTCATCACCCACCTTGTGCCTGGATCCGCCACCAAGACGTCATCCCGCAGCAGGTGGATGGCTTCCTGTGTGCTGCCCTTCCATAGAAGGTTGGTGGATCGCAGCCTGCGGGGGAGACCTGCAGAAAACGAGACACTGCAGGTCAGAGGAGCAATCCTGGGGGTGCGGACAGAACATCTACCACACCCCAATGCATGGTTCCAGCGAGCTGACCGGGCCTGGAAATCAGAACTGGTTCTATAAAAATGACCCCAAGATCTCCTTCCCCGCCCACCATCTCCACTCTGCCCACTATCTCCACTCCACCCACCATCTCTGCCCTGCCCACCATCTCTGCTCCGCCCACCATATCCGCTCCGCCCACCATCTCCGCCCCGCCCACCAACTCCACCTCTCCGCCCACCATCTCCGCCCGCCCCACCATCTCCCCCCGCCCACCATCCGCCCCGCCCACCATCTCCACTCTGCCCCACCATCTCCACTCCGCCCACCATCTCTGCCCTGCCCACCATCTCTGCTCCACCCACCATCTCCACCCCCACCCACCATCTCCGCCCTGCCCACCATCTCCGCCCCACCCACCATCTCCACTCTGCCCACCATCTCCACTCCACCCTCCATCTCTGCTCCGCCCACCATCTCCACTCTGCCCACTATCTCCACTCCACCCACCATCTCTGCCCTGCCCACCATCTCTGCTCCGCCCACCATCTCCGCTCTGCCCACCATCTCCGCCCACCTCTCCGCCCCCCACCATCTCTGCCTCCGCCCACCATCTCCGCCCTGCCCACCATCTCCACCCCCGCCCACCATCTCCACCCCGCCCACCATCTCCACTCCGCCCACCATCTCCGCCCACCATCTCTGCCCTGCCCACCATCTCCACCCCGCCCACCATCTCCGTCTCCGCCCACCATCTCCACCCCCACCCATCATCTCCGCCCCGCCCACCATCTGCCGTCTCACTACCGCTGCTGAATTCCACTTGTGTGATATCCTGGAGAATGCAGCAGGAGGAGTGAGACACCCTTGCTTGCTTTGTACTGGATGTCCCATTGGTTCAGTCTAGACGTTCGGTTCATTTCATTCTGAAATTCACACAAAATGTTCTTCGGAGATCTGGATGTATCTGAATTTCTGAATTACAATAGTAATGAATGTAAACGAATCCAAAATAAAAGGAAATTTGAATCGAAGTTTAAACCTCATATTTCCTTCAAAGACTGCGAGTCGTAAGATCGAGCCGGCTTCCGAAATCCGAATAGAGCCGCCTTCCGAAATCCGAATAGAGCCGCCTTCCGAAATCCGATAGAATCGAGCCGCCTTCCGAAATCCGAATAGAATCGAGCCGCCTTCCGAAATCTGAATAGAATCGAGCCGCCTTCCGAATCCGAATAGAGCCGCCTTCCGAAATCCGAATAGAGCCGCCTTCCGAAATCCGAATAAAGCCGCCTTCCGAAATCCGAATAGAATCGAGCCGCCTTCCGAATCCGAATAGAGCCGCCTTCCGAAATCCGAATAGAGCCGCCTTCCATAATCCGAATAGAATCGAGCCGCCTTCCGAATCCGAATAGAGCCGCCTTCCGAAATCCAAATAAAGCCGCCTTCCGAAATCCGAATAGAATCGAGCCGCCTTCCGAATCCGAATCGAGCCGCCTTCCGAAATCTGAATAGAATAGAGCCGCCTTCCGAAATCTGAATAGAATAGAGCCGGCTTCCGAAATCCGAATAGATTCGAGCCGCCTTCCGAATCCGAATAGAATAGAGCCGCCTTCCGAAATCCGAATAGAGCCGTCTTCCGAAATCCGAATAGAATCGAGCCGCCTTCCGAATCCGAATAGAGCCGCCTTCCGAAATCTGAATAGAATAGAGCCGGCTTCCGAAATCCGAATAGATTCGAGCCGCCTTCCGAAATCCGAATAGAATAGAGCCGCCTTCCGAAATCCGAATAGAGCCGTCTTCCGAAATCCGAATAGAATCGAGCCGCCTTCCGAATCCGAATAGAGAGCCGCCTTCCGAAATCTGAATAGAATAGAGCCGGCTTCCGAAATCCGAATAGATTCGAGCCGCCTTCCGAAATCTGAATAGAATCGAGCCGCCTTCCGAAATCCGAATAGAGCCGCCCCCTGAAATCCGAATAGAATAGAGCTGCCTTCCGAATTCCGAATAGAATAGAGCCGCCTTCCGAAATCTGAATAGAATAGAGCCGGCTTCCGAAATCCGAATAGAATCGAGCCTCCTTCCGAAATCTGAATAGAATCGAGCCGCCTTCCGAAATCCGAAATCCGAATAGAGCCGCCTTCCGAAATCTGAATAGAATCGAGCCGCCTACCGAAATCCGAATAGAGCCGCCCCCTGAAATCCGAATAGAATAGAGCTGCCTTCCGAATTCCGAATAGATAGAGCCGCTTCCGAAATCCGAATAGAATCGAGCCTCCTTCCGAAATCTGAATAGAATCGAGCCGCCTTCCGAAATCCGAATAGAGCCGCCCTCCAAAATCCGAATAGAATAGAGCTGCCTTCCTAATTCCGAATAGAATAGAGCCGCCTTCCGAATCCGAATAGAATCGAGCCGCCTTCCGAAATCCGAATAGAATAGAGCCGCCTTCCGAAATCTGAATAGAATAGAGCCGCCTTCCGAAATCTGAATAGAATCGAGCCGCCTTCCGAAATCTGAATAGAATAGAGCCGGCTTCCGAAATCCAAATAGAATCGAGCCGCCTTCCGAAATCTGAATAGAATCGAGCCGGCTTCCGAAATCCAAATAGAATCGAGCCGCCTTCCGAAATCCGAATAGAGCCGCCTCTGAAATCCGAATAGAATAGAGCCGAATTCCGAATAGAATAGAGCCGCCTTCCGAATCCGAATAGAATCGAGCCGCCTTCCGAAATCCGAATAGAATCGAATCGAGCCGCCTTCCGAAATCCGAATAGAGAGCCGCCTCCGAAATCCGAATAGAATAGAGCCGCCTTCCGAAATCTGAATAGAGTAGAGCCGCTTCCGAAATCCGAATAGAATCGAGCCGCCTTCCGAAATCTGAATAGAATAGAGCCGCCTTCCGAAATCCGAATAGAATAGAGCCGGCTTCCGAAATCCGAATAGAATAGAGCCGCCTTCCAAAAACCGAATAGAATAGAGCCGCCTTCCGAAATCTGAATAGAATAGAGCCGCCTTCCGAAATCCGCATAGAATAGAGCCGCCTTCCAAAAACCGAATAGACTAACAGAGAAAAGAACATGAATAGAATAGAACGGTCCGAATTTCGGATGGAATAGAAGTGGCTGTTCTTCACAATGAGTTTGGATCGGATACTTTGAATCTGGTCAAAAACGAATAAATGAAATTAGTAACGCACCGAATCGATCCGAAATGAAACGGTTTTGTTCGCTCTGCACATGTCTAGTTTCTTCTCCCCCATCCAATCATATCTGGAATACTGACCTGGGGGGAGGTGCTTTCATTCACTCTCCTGATAATACCCCCCCCCCCCCAGTGGTTGGTGGGCGCCCAGCCTTGGCCCCATGGTGGTTTCTGGTACCTGATAGTTGGCTGGCCATCCTGCGCAGGGTGACGGCGGTGGGCTTTCACAGGCCGCGCCCCTTTCTCCATGAAGGTCAGGCCTCCCGCCATGTACCTCTCCTCGGCCAGGCGGCTCCTCCCCAGAGGGTTCTTGATGGTGAAGTTGGAGACGTAGCGCTCCAGAGGGTCATCCAGCGAGTTCACCTCCCCCTCCTCCCACAACTTGTACAGCATGAGTGCCGGGAAGAGTTTGGAGATGCTGGCGATTCTGCGGAGGAAAAGATGGCGGTCGTTTCATCACCGTTTAATGCTGCATAGAGCCCTGGGGCCCTTTCCTGCTTACCATGTGGCCCCCCGGCTCCTGCTTGTAAAGCAGCTGTGATGGCGGTGATCTCAGGCAGTCTCCTGTGTTCCCGGCCTCCAATGGACTCCTGCCACCTCCAGTCTCTCACAATCTGTAGCGCCCCCTATACTGAATACTATGTGTGGCCCCCTAGGGGTCTCAGGGCTGCAGGTGAGGCCCCCAATCTAGGAAGTGGACCACCATTGGTCTAGAGAGCTGACTGGCATGGACGGGAGAGGATAGGACACTCCCATCATCCTCCGCCTGGTCACATTCTGACCTTCCAGCTCTTCCATGGAGATAAGTTCGGCATATTGTGGCCCCAAGTATTGTCTGCACCCCGATGTATTGGGAGAGGAACCTCCATCCCGGCTGTCACCTACCTCAATCCCCTCCTAATGTATGATATTCCAACCCAGCCAGTAGGGGGAGCTCTTATTTCCTGTTTACAGAGCTCAGAAGCTCAAGCAGACATTCACATATTCCCAGTAAGTGAGCATCAGCAGGAACTCCACCCCATTTCTCTGATTGGCTCCAGCTGAGATTTCGGACAGATGGTCGGAAAGACCGCTTCTGCTCTACACTCTTTAGCTGACCCATAGTGCACTGGGAATCCTTCGTCCTGAACATCTACTACAAAGCTTGTGTGTGGCATGTGGAGATTCCCTTCATTAGGATCTGCTCTGTAAGGGTTCTCACCGGTAAATGGTGTATTCGTTGGGTGTGGGCGAGGACGGGTCAGATCCGTTCTTCCTCCCGAAGTTTCCTGTCCAGAGGACCGTGTCGTTATAGGTGACAATCGCCGACATGGCCGGCAGGCCGGGAGATCGAAGCTTACCCCTCAGATACTTGTCCACCTGTGGAGAGACGGGCAACAGATCAACTGCTGTCTGGGCAGTATGGGGGGAGGTAGGCAGTACGGGGGGGGAGGTAGGCAGTATGGGGGGAGGTAGGCAGTTTGGGAGGGAGGTAGGCAGGCAGTATGGGAGGGAGGTAGGCAGTATGGGGGGAGGTAGGCAGTACGGGGGGAGGTAGGCAGTTTGGGAGGGAGGTAGGCAGTACGGGAGGGGGGGGAGGTAGGCAGTTTGGGAGGGAGGTAGGCAGTACGGGGGGGGGAGGTAGACAGTATGGGAGGGAGGGAGGTAGGCAGTTTGGGAGGGAGGTAGGCACTTTGGGAGGGAGGGAGGTATTATGGGAGGGGGAGGTAGTTTTTTTTTTTTTGGGGGGGAGGTAGGTAGTTATGGGAGGGAGGGGGAGGGAGGTAGGCAGTTTGGGAGGGAGGCAGGCAGTTTGGGAGGGAGGTAGTTTGGGGGAAGGGAGGAAGGTAGTCTGCCACCCCTGACCACCAGCTGAGATATGAGATGGAACCAATCACCCCCATAATTCTTCTTGTCTGACCACACTGACCTTCTCTAGCGCCTCCTTCAGGATGGGGACGGGGTGCTCCAGGGGCACGGGCTCGGGGTATCGGGGGCACATCCGCACCACTTCCTGAACGTCCTCCTCTATCTCCGGAGCTGTGGACACAAATACACCATCAGAACCAGCCCTGGGGTCACCATTCCACCAATCTGCTCCACCACCCCTCCCCCAGACTCAAGAAAGGGCAACCCCACCCCCAGCCTTTCTTGGGAGACCACCGATAGAGGGGGATGGAACACAGGTGGGGGGCAGGAGAGGAGGAGGAGAAAAGAAAATTCTTGTTCATCTCCTCTGATTGGACAATTGAGGGGAGTCCTTCCTCTTATATAGTGAAGTGGCCCCGCCTCCTGATTTCGGACCTCGGATGGCACTGCGGGGGGATTCGGGGGAATTTTAGGTTCGATTTCCATAAAATGAGTGTAATTTGTTCTCCTGTTAGACCCCTCCCCCAGTCACATGACTGCCGTCTCTTCTCTTCCTACCAGGTGTGCTCTGGGAATCCTTTCTCTGGGGTCAGGAAGACTGATAATTGGATGTCCGCCTGTAGCTCTCATCGCCCTCTAGTGGTCTGGTCACCCTAAAGATGGCCCCCCCCCCCCCAGCCACTCACCGGCCTCCAGTTTGGGCAGTTTGTACTGCCAGATGAAGCACGCTGTCAGGCGATGGAGAAGAGGAAGGAGAGGACCAGCACCAGGTGAGTCCATGTCAGCTCTATGTGGGGGGAGCGCCCTCGCCTGGATGGCTGAGGAAAGACACAGCAGTCAGGGCAGGTCAGTGGACGGTCACCCCACCATACATAGAGGGGGCGTACCCCACCAAACAGAGGGGGCGTACCCCACCATACATAGAGGGGGCGTACCCCACCATACATAGAGGGGGCGTACCCCACCAAACATAGAGGGGGCGTACCCCACCATTCATAGAGGGGGCGTACCCCACCAAATAGAGGGGGCGTACCCCACCATACATAGAGGGGGCGTACCCCACCAAACAGAGGGGGCGTACCCCACCATACATAGAGGGGGTGTACCCCACCATACATAGAGGGGGCGTACCCCACCATACATAGAGGGGGCGTACCCCACCAAACATAGAGGGGGCGTACCCCACCATACATAGAGGGGGCGTACCCCACCAAACATAGAGGGGGCGTACCCCACCATACATAGAGGGGGCGTACCCCACCAAACAGAGGGGGCGTACCCCACCAAACATAGAGGGGGCGTACCCCACCATACATAGAGGGGGCGTACCCCACCATACATAGAGGGGGCGTACCCTACCAAACAGGGGGCGTACCCCACAATACATAGAGGGGGGCGTACCCTACCAACACAGAGGGGGCGTACCCCACCAAACATAGAGGGGGCGTACCCCACCAAACATAGAGGGGGCGTACCCCACCAAACATAGAGGGGGTGTACCCCACCAAATGGAGGGGGCGTACCCCACCATACATAGAGGGGGCGTACCCCACCATACATAGAGGGGGCGTACCCCACCAAACAGAGGGGGCGTACCCCACCAAACATAGAGGGGGCGTACCCCACCATACATAGAGGGGGCGTACCCCACCAAAACAGAGGGGGCGTACCCCACCAAAACATAGAGGGGGCGTACCCCACCATACATAGAGGGGGCGTACCCCACCATACATAGAGGGGGCGTACCCCACCAACAAGGGGGCGTACCCCACCATACATAGAGGGGGCGTACCCCACCATACATAGAGGGGCGTACCCCACCAAACATAGAGGGGGCGTACCCCACCAAACATAGAGGGGGCGTACCCCACCCCACCATAGAGGGGGCGTACCCCACCAAACATAGAGGGGGCGTACCCCACCAAACATAGAGGGGGCGTACCCCACCAAACACAGAGGGGGCGTACCCCACCAATACATAGAGGGGGCGTACCCCACCATACATAGAGGGGGCGTACCCCACCATACATAGAGGGGGCGTACCCCACCATACATAGAGGGGGCGTACCCCACCATACATAGAGGGGGCGTACCCCACCAAACATAGAGGGGGCGTACCCCACCATACATAGAGGGGGCGTACCCCACCAAACATAGAGGGGGGCGTACCCCACATACATAGAGGGGGTACCCCACCATACATAGAGGGGGCGCGTTACCCCACCATACATAGAGGGGGCGTACCCCACCATACATAGAGGGGGCGTACCCCACCAAACATAGAGAGGGGCGTACCCCACCATACATAGAGGGGGCGTACCCCACCATACATAGAGGGGGCGTACCCATACCAAACAGAGGGGGCGTACCCCACCAATACATAGAGGGGGCGTACCCCACCATACATAGAGGGGGCGTACCCCACCAAACATAGAGGGGGCGTACCCCACCAAACATAGAGGGGGCGTACCCCACCAAACATAGAGGGGGCGTACCCCACCAGGGGGCGTACCCCACCATACATAGAGGGGGCGTACCCCACCATACATAGAGGGGGCGTACCCCACCATACATAGAGGGGGCGTACCCCACCAAACATAGAGGGGGCGTACCCCACCATACATAGAGGGGGCGTACCCCACCATACATAGAGGGGGCGTACCCCACCAAACAGAGGGGCGTACCCCACCATACATAGAGGGGGCGTACCCCACCATACATAGAGGGGGTGTACCCCACCATACATAGAGGGGCGTACCCCACCAAACATAGAGGGGGCGTACCCCACCATACATAGAGGGACGTACCCCACCATACATAGAGGGGGCGTACCCCACCATACATAGAGGGGGCGTACCCCACCAAACATAGAGGGGGGCGTACCCCACCATACATAGAGGGGCGTACCCCACCATACATAGAGGGGGCGTACCCCACCATACATAGAGGGGGCGTACCCCACCATACATAGAGGGGGCGTACCCCACCATACATAGAGGGGGCGTACCCCACATACATAGAGGGGGGCGTACCCCACCATACATAGAGGGGGCGTACCCCACCAATACATAGAGGGGGCGTACCCCACATACATAGAGGGGGGGCGTACCCCACATACATAGAGGGGGCCAACCCCACCAAACATAGAGGGGGCGTACCCCACATACATAGAGGGGGCGTACCCCACCAAACATAGAGGGGGCGTACCCCACATACATAGAGGGGGCCAACCCCACCAAACATAGAGGGGGCGTACCCACACATACATAAAGGGGGCGTACCCCACATACATAGAGGGGGGTACCCCACCAAACATAGAGGGGGCGTAACCCCACATACATAGAGGGGGCGTACCCCACATAGAGGGGGCGTACCCCACCATACATAGAGGGGCGGCGTACATTCACATAGAGGGGGCGTACCCCACCATACAGGAGGGGGCGTACCCCACATACATAGAGGGGGCGTACCCCACCATACATAGACATGTGCCCCACCATACATAGAGGGGCGTACCCCACATACATAGAGGGGGCGTACCCCACATACATAGAGGGGGCGTACCCCACCATACATAGAGGGGGGCGTACCCCACCATACATAGGGGGGGCGTACCCCCACCTACATAGAGGGGGCGCGTACCCCACCATACATAGAGGGGGCCAACCCCACCATACATAGAGGGGGCGTACCCCACCATACATAGAGGGGGCGTACCCCACCATACATAGAGGGGGCGTACCCCACATACATATAGAGGGGTGTACCCCACCAATACATAGAGGGGGCGTACCCCACCATACATAGAGGGGGCCAACCCCACCATACATAGAGGGGGCGGACCCCACATAGAGGGGGCGTACCCCACATACATAGAGGGGCGTACCCACATACATAGAGGGCGTACCCCACATACATAGAGGGGGCGTACCCCACATACATAGAGGGGGCGTACCCCACCATACATAGAGGGGCGTACCCCACCAATACATAGAGGGGGCGTACCCCACCATACAAGAGGGGGCGTACCCCACCATACATAGAGGGGCGTACCCCACCATACATAGAGGGGGCGTACCCCACATACATAGAGGGGCGTACCCCACATAACATAGAGGGGGCGTACCCCACCATACACATAGAGGGGGCGTACCCCACATACATAGAGGGGGCGTACCCCACCATACACAGAGGGGGCGTACCCCACCCATACATAGAGGGGGCGTACCCCACATACATAGAGGGGCGTACCCCACCATACATAGAGGGGGCGTACCCCACATACATAGAGGGGGCGTACCCCACCATACATAGAGGGGGCGTACCCCCCATATATAGAGGGGGCGTACCCCACATACATAGAGGGGGCGCACCCCACATACATAGAGGGGGCGTACCCCACCATACATAGAGGGGCGTACCCCACCATACATAGAGGGGGCGTACCCCACCATACATAGAGGGGGCGTACCCCACATACATAGAGGGGGCGTACCCCACATACATAGAGGGGGCGTACCCCACATACATAGAGGGGCGTACCCCCCATACATAGAGGGGGCGTACCCCACATACATAGAGGGGCGTACCCCACCATACATAGAGGGGGCGTACCCCACCCATACATAGAGGGGGCGTACCCCACATACATAGGGGGCGTACCCCACCATACATAGAGGGGGCGTACCCCACATACATAGAGGGGGCGTACCCCACATACATAGAGGGGGCGTACCCCACATACATAGAGGGGGCGTACCCCACATACATAGAGGGGCGTACCCCACATACATAGAGGGGGCGTACCCCACATACATAGAGGGGGGCGTACCCCCATACATAGAGGGGCGTACCCCCCATACATACACAGAGGGGCGTACCCCACCATACATAGAGGGGGCGTACCCCACCATACATAGAGGGGGAGAGGGGGGCGTACCCCACATACATAGAGGGGGCGTACCCCACATACATAGAGGGGGCGTACCCCACATACATAGAGGGGCGTACCCCACATACACAGAGGGGGCGTACCCCACCATACACAGAGGGGCGTACCCCACATATATAGAGGGGGCGTACCCCACCATACACGGGCGTACCCCACATATATAGAGGGGGCGCACCCCACCC